CAAGCATTGTTCCACCCAGTGTTACCCTTAAAAATGAATAACAAATTAATGTTTGTACTTTGTCGCGCATGCAGTGAAAGTTTCAATCAAGGACAATGTGAACACAACGACAACGAACGAGCTTTAACAGGTACCTGGGTAATTGATGAAGTCAGGAAGTCTGTCGAAAAGGGATACAAAATCTTGGAAACGTACGAAATATGGGAGTACCGCACAGAACAGTATAACAGAGAGACTAAAACTGGCGGTTTGTTTAATGATTACATAAATAAATTTTTGTGTATTAAACAGCAAAGTTCCGGATGGCCAACATCGTGCAATACAGCTGAAAAGAAAGATGAATATATTAAAGAATATTTTGAAGTCGAAGGTGTTCGGTTGGATCCCTCGGTTGGATCCCTCAAAAATAGAAAAGAATCCAGGACTCCGACAATTAGGAAAATCAGTTATTACTTCGTTTTGGGGAAAACTAGGTCAGCGCGAGAACCAAAGTAAAACTACAATAGTTAGACAACCAGAAGAATTTTATAACATCATGACTAACCCTTCAGTCGACATTAATTCGGTTCAGCCGATAAATGAGGATACGCTCCTTGTAAACTGGGAATTTAAAGAAGAAAGTTACACCCCTTTATCGACAGTGAACGTGGTACTTGCCGCTTACACCACTGCGCAGGCACGGTTAAAGCTGTATGAGTATCTAGATTTATTAGGTAAGTAAATTTAACATAAAAATTGCTTATAGGTAACTGTATTTTTTGAAATAGGCGAGCGTGTGTTGTATTATGACACGGACTCTATAATCTACATTACTTCCGAAGGCCAGTTTGATCCACCGACAGGTAAATTTTTGGGCGACTTAACAGATGAATTAGAAGCTGAAGGTGCTGATAGTTATATTGAAGAATTCGTGTCAGGTGGACCAAAAAATTATGCTTATAAACTCTGGTCCACGGCCAAAAATTGTTATGTAAATGTTTGTAAGGTGAAAGGAATTTCCCTTAATTATAAAAACTCACAAATCATCAACTTTGAACAGATAAAGAGGATGGTATTGGAAGGTGATAAAGCAGAACCCTTACTGGTATCGTCAAAGTTGATGAAAAGAACGGCTGAACATAATGTTTTAACAAACGATACTACTAAAGTCTACCGTACAAATTCGACAAAAAGATGTTTTGCTACAGATGGCTCATCACATCCTTACGGTTTTAAGAAGTCTCGTTTATCCGGTGGAATAGACGAAAATTTATAAAAAATTTAGCAGATGTAATAATATGTACCTGTAATGCATAGCTATGTAACTTTACTGTAATGTGGTATAAAATTCAATTAATTAGTTAAAAACATTATTCATTAATTCATCTTCAGACCGCACCTTTCCTATCACTGTACCGATGGCTGGGTCTCAATGATGGCGGATTTGTGATCGTACAGGTAACAGATAACATGTAACAGCTAACACTAATAAAAAACCTGTTAGCTGATACATCTTCTTCAGTTACCTGTTCCAATCATGTTCACGTTCGGGTACAGGTCCACGTTCGCGTTAGGTTCATGTTAACGTTCACGTTAGGTTGACGTTCGGGGTTCACGTTCGCGTTAGGTTAACGTTCACGTTAACGTTAGGTTCACGTTCGCGTTAGGTTCACGTTAAGGTTTGCGTTGAGTTCACGTTAACGTTCATGTTATGGCGTTCACGTTCGCGTTGGGTTCACGTTCATGTACGCGTTGGGTTCATGTTCACGTTGGCGTTCACGTTCGCGTTAGGTTCACGTTCACGTTAGGTTCACGTTAACGTTCGCGTTAGGTTCACGTTCGTGTTGGGTTCACGTTCACGTTCGCGTTCACGTTCGCGCTGGGTTCACGTTCACGTTGGCGTTCACGTTCACGTTGGCGTTCACGTTCACGTTGGCGTTCACGTTCACGTTGGCGTTCACGTTCACGTTGGCGTTCACGTTCACGTTGGCGTTCACGTTCACGTTGGCGTTCACGTTCACGTTGGATTCACGTTAAACGTTCGCATTCACGTTCGCGTTGGGTTCACGTTCGCGTTAGGTTCACGTTCGCGTTGGATTCACGTAGTTTTTCCATAGATTTCAACCTCTAACTATAGAATCTCTCAAACCCTGCGTACCTCAACTGCTTACACGCTAGCATTTTTCTATTTCAGATGTCGCGGGGTTCGATTCCCAAGGCAAATTTAAAAAAATAATGTCTATACCAATCACGTGACCGATGACGTGAAAAAGTGCTCTTTCACAGTGATGTCAGGTAATAGAATGATTTCATAGCATAACTGCATTGTTTGCGATACTGTTTACCATTGTTATCAAAAAGCAGTTGTCTAAACCTAACACGATACGTAACACGTTAACCTTTATGACCGCTAAAACTGTTTGCTTATGTGGATATGAAACCGATAGTCTCGTATACGAGATAACATGTGACATGTGAAAATCGTACATTTTAATTTTAAAAATATCCAAAGTTGATCGTACGAAGGTGGTAAGACTCGTTTGGAAACCAATATTCAGGCTTTTCTTTCGACGCCAGAATGGTGACTATGATAAATATACAGGGCTTTAAAACATCAAAAACTGATTTTCAAGGAAAGAACTTGTAATTTATAATGGCGAGCAAGTGGCTCGTTTAATTTTTTTTTAGCCTCCATTTTCGTGGAATAACTAAGATCACGACTTATAACGTCAAGCTACCTGGTTAATACATATTATCGCCGCCACAAGAGAAGAGCCCTGCGTCATCATCTACAAGCGTGTGATTTAAGATTTAAAATCAAAAGTCAAAATAGTTCCTTAATAATCAATATTAAAGTTGTTGAAAAATGTACATGATGGCGTAGTTTCGCAAAGGTTTAAAAAGAGCAACAGCAAATCCCAATTCAGTTGTTTTTGTTAAAATGCAATAAAGAACAGGAAAGTTGAAAAAAACGTAGGTAAAAGAAGAATGACAAAAACGAAGAGCAAAAGAGGTTATGGAAAATTTGAAAATAATTAGGAGTATTACGACGTTGGTCAAATCAGCATCAAATATGCATGTTAAACTTGACAAGCGTTATAGGTTATCTCTTTTCATTACATTTAGCTTTTCAAAAGCGCACGTCTATTATATCCCAAGAACTTGTTTCGTTCTCTGTCCTTTTTTGGGTTGCGGAAATTTTTGAGATGTAAGTATCAACACCTTGGATTTATGCATTCGTACATTGATGACGCAGGGCTCTTCTCTTGTGGCGGTGATAATAACCATCACGGAATTAAATGGGAACATGGTCAGCATACACTTTAACCGATACTTTGGGCTTTTACTTTCTAACTGGAAATTTACCAAAGATTCAGATAAAATTATAACCCCCATAGATATTCGACAATTTAATCAATCATGTTGTATGAAAAAGAACGAGATTGAGGATTAGCGTGAAATATGTAATAACTCACGATTAAAACTGCTAGGATCCAGTAACTTCGCTTCCTTTTACCAAATATTTATCAATAAAATGCATGACTTGAAAAGAAGTACCGCAACTATCGAAAATGTACAGCTACGTGCCGAAACTTGAAAAATCGGTTGTGTGAGGAAGTCTCTTACAAAGGGATGTGTTAATAAAATTATAAATCGTTCATTATCAATGACAAAATTATCGGTTTGGTTCTGGTTCACGTTACATTTAAAATATATCAATTACTCTGCTCCTAAAAGATTTGTACCGTTTTGGAGATGGTTTTTGTAAACACTTCCACCTCAGACGAGACAGCGCGCATTTTTGAACGAACTAGTCGAAGATCCCATACAGAGAAATTCCACTTATGTCTTTATAGCGTAAAGGAAGGGGATATATTCCATTGCGTATGCTCATCGAAGTGGATATGTACGAATCTGCTTAAATCAATAAGAATCAGATATCAGGGTCGGCTTAGAACACAATTCATCGAACCCTTTCCTCCCTCCAAATATTGGTGTAGCTTTAGGTGATTGCATTTCTCCAAGAGTGTAGATTCCACGTTTTCAATTGTTTAGTGAATTCCGCTTTCATTGCTGTAATTTTTTTGTATGTAACGTACCTATCTATCTTTTAAAAGTGCAAAACCGAGAAAAATGTGCAATTTCCCTTAGCTTTCCACGTAATTTTATTTATTTAAGTGAGTCTAATATTAGCAAATTGCTCTATACAGATAATAACTATTTAACGTACCTATTGGATATCCCGTAATTACCTAGCTATAGGTACATTTTGGAAGATTTCGATAATGGTACTACCTCGCCCCTTTAGATAATTTCTGTTAAATCTAGGCATACTTATCGTAATAGTAGGGTTATTAACCTGAACAAGCCACTGACATTCGTGGAAAACGATGACGTTGGCATTTTTTTCCGTTGAATTACCTACATGTTAATAATGAAACGCACTATTCTATTTGTTACTTCCCCTCGATACCACGTAATAAAACCGTGTTTCGCAAAATTTAACGAGTGAACTTGGACAGTTTGAAGTGATCATGATCGTAATATCAGACTGGGATTACGTTATTTTGATTTCTGGATAAAAAGCGCGAGAATGCGTTCTAAGCAGGTATGCCTACAGCACTTTAAATGGAAGTTGCATAATGTAATTAATTTTTAATTTTATATCCTGCGATTGCTTGAGAATCACCTCCTAAAAGAAGATGCCTTCTAGAAAATATCGATGGCCGTATTTTTTGCTACGCTCTGAACTGTGTTACAAATAAAGTGGATAGATATGCGTTATGTACGGGTATTTATTTATTCACTACTACTAAATCCTAGCTAGGTAGCCATTTACTCTCACTCTCACAAACTTAATTCAAAATCTGCTGCCATTTGTTTCCGATGTAATTAATGCGATAAACTTAAGTACCGAGCCCCATTTTTGCATGTATCATAAGTAGTGGTGGAAATTTATCTTTATCTACAGTTTCCCATCCCTAATGTGTGCCATGTAGGTATCTAATTACAGTTTATAGATAAACACTGATTTTGGAACAAGGACCAGTCTGTTAAACGAGGAATTCCGAAAACCTTTTGGTAGACATACCTGAAATTCGTATCGCACTTGAGGAAGATACCTAATTATCAACTTATTGGGGACCACACAAGAATGGTCAAATACTTACGTATAAATAAGGTAGCTTACTTAAAAATTGTTGATTTCTTAGTATAGTAAATATTTTAGGGTTGCTGCAATAAACAGATCAAATTGGTCATTGGTGGGTCCATAGACGAAAATTCCTTTCGACAGCCAAAGAAGACGATAGTTTATTCGATAGAGGCTATACATAATCATTTTCGTGTATTTGTTTACAATTAAACAAGGATTTTGCGTGTTTTTCTCACACCTCGCCCAATAACGATCAAAATATGTACCATGATTTAAACTAGAGCAGAATAATTCAGTGGTTACTTTGTGGCAAATCAGATATTTTCCATTGTCAATGCGTCAGGTCGATTTCGATTACGTTAAAGGAAAAAATTGTATGTAAAGATTGTTTAGTCAGTTTGCTCAATATACATTAGACGCCGATCGATCACATTTACATGCTTTCAAACACTGCACGTTGAATTTCATACAATATTCTTCCTCAAACTCTGAAAGAAATTTCAATTGTTTTTTAATATCACGCTATTGAACTAGTAAAATCTGTAGGTACTGATTGTTATATACAGGATCCTCGAAAAAAAAAGTGTACCCGATGCTGAACCTCGCCCTGAGATTATGCTGCATATATACTGCATAATAAAGCATATTTATTATTATTTATTATTAAGTATTAATGAAGAGTTTTAATCGAAACTAACCGTATAATACAGACAAAATGTTTGGGGTTTCATTATCATCTGACCTTGAAGTTGTAAGTGTGTGAGAGAAGCAATCGCTATAAATACTTAAAACGCAATTAATTTTTCTAGAAGTAAGCATTTTTGCCTGAAATTATTCTCTTTTAATCCAGTAAACATCACATTCGTTTAATGGGTTTCCATATAAGGAAACTTTTAACTTGACCTTGATCTCACACCTGAATATCATCATCACCTTGACACGCAACGTTTAAAGGGTGAGTAACCTGTGTGGATTTTGATCGGTAACTGGACTTGAATGGTTGGGGATGGACTTTGACCGTTCGGCAACCTTTAGACTTTATACGAATCCTTAGACTTTGACCGGAAACCTACTTTTAGATTTTATACGGCGGGAATGGACTTTGTCTGACAACCTTTAGACTTACATCAGCGTTTGACCAGTCAGCAACTCCTGGCTTTTGAACAGCAGAGAAAAGACCTTTGGCCGGTCCGTAATCTATGGACTTTGATCGATTTGGACTTTAAAC